CCTATAATATTCTTGAATGTTATATAGCAAGTGTAGCGTTTTATTACTCTCTGTATTTTCTAAGTTTGTTGTTTCTTCCATGTTTATTTGTTCTATAAACATAATTAAAAACTAACAGGTTATGGGTTCAGCACGCTTCCACTGCACTAGTGTTGCCGCGAATTGCGAAATTCATGTGATCTGAGACAAAACGCGAAACGAAGGTCGCATTATGCAACTGCGTGCAACGTCTTTGTCAAGTGAAGTGTGAAAAACAATAATGCAGCATGACAACAGGATTCTCGATCCAGATGGATAAATTAGGAAAAGAGAACTACGACACATCAGAGTGAGACTTCAGATGGAAGCCGTCCTAACTAAAATTGGGATTATAGGGATTATGTGAGCGGAACGAACGTTAGACCCGAAGAAACAGACGCAAATGTAGTTACAGTAGCGGCCTGGGATCAAAGGGATCGGAAAGCAAAAGCTGATATAATTCTCGCCATGCATCCTTCCGAGCTGTGTTATATAAAGAACTGCGATACATCTAGGTTGCGTTCCGTTTCGCGCATAGCACGCATTGTTCGCATAATCAATGCTTAGCGCATTGGTTGCGTTTCGTTTCATTATGCGCACGATGTACATTTTGAAACGGAACGATGTTAAATGCATTAGAAATCAAAATGGATTCCACAATAATAAACTGTGCTGTCGGTGTGACAATGTTTTTAATTAATGATGTTAATGAAAGTGACAGTAGTAAATCATCCATTTGGAGTTCTGATGATTATTATAGTGATGAAAAATATGAGAACAGTTTGAGCATCAGTGATTTAGAAATTTTATATTCGGTTTTAATGGTGAATGAAACTCGTGGAGAAATTTTTAATTCGTGGTAAACAATTTTTAAAGAAAAAAATAACAGATTTTGTTGAAAGAGTCACCCTCGATACACAAGGCGCGTATTCAAAGAACATTTCCGGTGAGAATGAATGTTTACATACATATTTTTTATTCAACTTGACTGTTTTAAAATATTTATAAATGGTTTGTACATAGTACTTATTTTCTATATTCAATTTTATTTATCAATTTAAAGCAATGCCAAGAAATTATAGTAATTTTATATCTTGCAGAATGTTTCCAGAAACATTTGAAGTAGTGTTACAATTAATTGAACCAGGACTAAGAGCCATAAATATATTGCCTGGAAGAAAACCTATTTCTGCCGAAAAGCAACTTCTTATTGCAATTTGGTTCATGTTTATTCCTGATTCTTATATTAGGTGTACAAAAAAGTTCTGAGCTTTAGATTTCATACAACCGAAATAACAATTTAAATTTTATATATCTTCGCCTTTTTGCGGTTTTAAAGCGTTGATATTTGGCCTTCTAAAATGCCATACGGTTTGTCGTTTGCACATAATCTCAAAAATCAGTAGTGTTCACGATGGCAATAACAAAAGAGCATATTCGATTTTCCATCCACTTCGCGTTTCATCTGAAGAAAAATGCTGCTGAAGCCACTGTACAATGATTTGTGCTGTATATGGAGAGAACGCTGTAAGTCATACTACATGTAAAAAATGGTATCAAAAATTTTGCCAAGGAGATTTCAGTCTTGAAGATAAACCGCGTGCTGGACGCCATCAAAAGATTGAAACGGACGAATTGCAAGCACTGCTGGATATAAACTCTGCGCAAACTGAAAAGGAGCTTGCAGAACAGCTTGGCATTACGCAGCAAACCATTTCCGCACGTTTACATACGATGGCAAAGGTTCAGAAGGAAGGCAGATGGGTTCCGCATGAATTGTCCGAAGACAACAAAAATCGTCGGCGTGACACTGCACTCACTTTGCTTTCAAAGTTCCGGAAAAAAGATTTTCTGCACAAAATCATTACAGGCGATAAAAAGTGGATTCTTTATGATAACCTTAAACGTAGAAAATCATGGGTTGACCCTGGTCAACCTTCGACATCGACGCCAAAACCCAATATCCACGCCAAGAAGGTTTTGCTCTGTATCTGGTGGCTTTAGAAAGGTTGTATTACGAGTTGTTACAACCGGGTGAAACAATCACGGCAGACTGCTACCAACAACAATTGACCAATTTGAGCGATGCATTAGAAGAAAAGAGGCCATTTACTGGCCAAGGACGTCGTAAAGTGATCTTGTTTCATGACAATGCTCGACCACATGTTGCGAAAGCGAAAGAACCATATCTTTGCGTTAGGCTGGGAACTTCTCCCGCACGCGGCGTATAGCCCAGACATGGCGCCTTCCGATTACTACCTATTCCGGCTGCAGCATCATTTGGCTGATACACATTTCGTGAGATTTAAAGAGATACGAAAATGCATTGATGATTTTATCGCTTCGAAGCTGGTGAGCTTCTATCGTCAAGGAATTCGCAAGCTACCTGAAAGATGGCAAAAAATCGTTGATGCAAACGGGGAATATTTCGTTGATTAATATTTTTTTGTTTGTTTTTGAATAAAGATTGAATTTTACAAAAAAAAGCTCAGAACTTTTTTGTACACCTAATAGGTATGATCTCATATATTTAAAATATTAAATCTCATACATTTAAAATATTAAATAAATTTAAAGAAAAGAAACAAAAAATTATTAGTAAATTAATAATTAATAGTAAGTTAAATTAAGACCAATAATGTTTAAACATACATGATAGAAGATAGAAAAATTATTAATTTCATAATAATATTTCATTTATATTATTGTCTTCAGGTCTGTATCGACGAAATTTGGAATTGGAAAAGCAACTGCATTCAGAGCATTAAGACGAGTAACATATGTTCTACATTGTATTGCTCCTCAGTTTATTCAGTGGCTCAAAGATGCAGTTGCCACAAAAATAATGAGGAAATTTGAACAAGTTTGTGATTTTCCAAACGTGATAGGTATTATTGATGGAACTCATATTAAAATTCATGCTCCAAAAGAAGATCCAGATTCGTACATAAATAGGAAAGGTTTTCATTCAATTAATGTACAAGTTGTCTGTGAGTCGCGTGGACTATTCACACATTGTTATGCTGGGCATATAGGATCTGTGCACGATGCAAGAGTTTTTCGGAACTCACCAGTGGCAGATTTTCTTCAATACCTCAAATATATTTTCCTAATAATTCTCATATTATTGGAAATGCTGCATATGGTATCTATCCACATGTTATGATACCTTTTAGAGATAATGGTCATCTGATAAATGCGCAAAAAAATTTTAACTATTGTTTGTCATCTACGCGAATGGCAATTGAACGGGCAATAGGTCATCTGAAAATTCATTTTAGGATTCTCTTAGACTGTTTATCTTTAACAGATGTTAGAAAAATTCCAGAATTTATTTTGGTCTGTTGTGTATTATATAACATTTGTATTTTGCAAAACGATATAATTGAACTGATGGATATACATAGAAATGAAGAAGAAGCAATATCTGTTTTACATGATAATGCAGTTGAATTAGGAAATGCTAAAAGAAATGCAATTATGAATGCTTTACCAAGGAAAATATAACATTAAAATATATGTAATACTGAACAACATGTGTGTATATAAAAAATAAAAATATATTTAAATAATAATTAAGTAAAAAATAAATTAAACGTTTGTTTTTTACTAATTATTACTTAAATATATTTTATTTGATGATATCGTTGACTTCAAAAAATATTTTCTTCGTAAAGAAGTATAACTAAAAATATTATAGTTTTACTAATTAATTAATATCACTTCTTACATTAATATCACTTATTACATTAATATCATTTGTATGTATTGTCGATAGATCACAGACTTGTTACAAACTAGCTATCACATAGAAAATAGAATGTAGGGCATACCACCAAAACAATGTTACGGAAATTATAGGACTATTTCTTTTTGCTATAGATAAATATAGAGATGTCAAAATTATTTTTGCTTTTCAATTAAAAGTTTCATAATTTCAATCAATGATTTTTGTATCTCCATTTTCTCTTCATGAATTTTCCTTTGTTCTGCTTTACGCTCGATATACCGCTGTTTTTAATTTCTCACGTTCTTTCCTCTCTTCTTCTCTTTTGGCCATCGCTGTGTCCCTATCTTGTCTTATATCATCAATGAAATTCTCCAGGACAGTTTCAACTCTCTGCTTGGATCTAAAATAAAAATTAATTATTAAAGCATGTAGACAAAGACAAAGAATGTATAAAGAATTGAAATCTTATTGATTTATTATTACTAGATGGCAATGAAGGTGATTCTGCTACTGTCGATTCTGTCACATTTGTTGGCTTAACTGGACCTTCGCTTGATGCAATTACAGGTGGCATCACAAAAGCCTTTTTCCCAAAAATTGAGTCCATCACCTTCAAAATTATAATTATGTAAAAGCATTTATTTAGATTATATAAATCAATTATGTAAAAAATTATTTACAAAATTCAAATAGATTACATATAAAATTAACAGTATCAAATTTGTATTTCATTTTCTAATACATTATTTACAGAAATAAGAAACCGATTTACCGAATAAAAGTGTATTCTGACAATTTCCACTCTTTTTATTTTGATCGCTTATGTTTTTAAATGTCCTTTTAAGACCAGACATCTTTACAGAGCTTTGCAACCCAATTACAGCGTATTTTCCGTTGGAATTTTCTCTCATTTTTTCCGCTAATTCAGCCCAACTAGTAGCATTTCTTTTAAATCCCGAATTGAAGTCGGATTCTTTCTCCCCATACAATTCTAATAGTAAATATACTGCAGTATCAGGCCATACAAATCCTTTTGTATTCGTCGAACAATCATTTTCTTCGGAATCAACATTTTCAGACAGTGCTGATGAAGGCTGACTAATTTCTAAAGAACTTGAGAAGTCAGTAGAATTATTCTGCTTACTGATTTCTCAGTTTACAAGCGATTGTAGCAACTTTTGATCTGTAATAACAGTATTCCTAATATAATTTATATTTACAGCCAATAATTGAATAGAAAAATAATCCCTTTAAAAATACTTTTGGAAGTAGTGGAAATATTAATTCAAAAACCGAAAAATAACCCAATTGAGTATTTTCACTATTGTCAAAAAGCTTTTTCCGTAAGAAATGATCTACTTGTGTTTGTTGTAATCTATATAACCTACAAATATATTCGACTAAATGTTACCTGTTTGAACTTTATTAATTATTTCTTGAGTAAGAAATAATGTGATGACGCTCTGCGTTTCTTCAATGAAGACTGGGAACTCTAATAATGTCTCTTCCATATCTTCACACTGACATTTTTATGTAAAACTAGAATTCAACACTTTTCACAATGCCATCAACCGCCACATACAATTACGCAATCGCATAAAATGTATAAGCTGCTATAGCTTGAACTTGAGGTAGCTGATGCGTGCATTATGCGCTGCAGGTGGTAGGGGTCTAGGGAATTCTAAGCGCATAATGCTGTTTATGCGCAAATTGAAACGTTTTCTATGTCATTCGTGCGTATAATGTGCGAAACGGAACGCAATCTTAATCAGGTATGGCAAAAATTAGAATTAGTGTACCAATCGAAGGGCCCGGCTAGAAAAGCAACATTGTTGAAAATGTTGTTATTCACAAAAATGGAAGAAAATTCCAGTATGTCGGAGCACCTGAACACGTTCTTTTTATACAACAATACAGTTGATAAACTCGGAGAAATTGATATTCAAATTTCGGAAGATCTTCTAACGATTTTATTATACAGTATTCCGAATAGCTACGATAATTTTCGTTGTGCAATAGAAGCTCGAGACGAACTACCAGCACCTGAAGCTTTAAAAATTAAAAATTAAATTGCTCGAAGAGTACAGCTCGAAAAGGGAAAAAAACCGAGCAGGATTCCCAAGGTGCTTTCTACACAAAATTTCAAAAAGGTTCGAAGCAATCCACACAAAGATGGAAACAACGAAAATCAAAACAATGCTAGACCACAGCAAGAAAATGATTCAAAATCGAAGAAGAAAGGTTTCAAGTGCAATTTTGTAAGAAGCCTGGACACAAGGCTTCGGAATGCAGAAAGAAAGCAGCAGAAAATAAAAGGAAAGCAGAAAGCAGCAAGCAAAATACATCAAAAGTCGAGGAAGTTTTCATGGCTGTCATCGAAGAAACTAAAATAGAAGAAAAAGCTTCGTTGGTAAGTGCACTCACTGTTGAATTATCTCAAAGTGAACGATGGTGCATAGATAACGAGCAACTTCGCATGTGTTGCGACGACACTTTTCAGATTTGACACCAGTCAAAAATCAAAAAGTCAGACTAGTTGTTGATAAAACTGCTAACATTGCAGGAAAAGGCACTGTTCATCTTAACTTGTCTGACGGATGTCAAAGCATAAAAGTAAGGTTAGAAAACACACTTCTTGTGCCTGAACTTAAAACGAATTTGTTTTCAATTTCGAAAGCTGCTACAAATGGTCGCAGTGTTCTATTTACAAAAACCAGTGCTGAAATTATGAACAAAAACAAAGACGTTGTTTTTACAGCTGAGAAGAAAGACGATTTGTACTTCTTTGAAATAGAGACATCGAAATAGTAGCCACAGCTGAGGCAGAAAATGTGCTAAGCGAACTGGAGAAACTGCACCGAAGATATGGACATCTCAATGAATGTGATCTACAAAGACTCCAAAAACATGGTCAATGGATTGAAAATTGAAAAAGATGATAAGTTTTCAATGTGCGAACTTATATCTTAGTTAGTATGTTAGTTCTCAAATTTTACTTTATATGTTAGAATTAGCTGTCTCTTTAATTCAAGCTTATGTTTTCTCTATTCTCTCAACACTTTATAGAAGTGAAATTTATAAACAAATTTACACACCTCTTTTATTTAATTACAGTAAGACCATAGGTTATCATTATCTCCTTTAGATTATTTAATAATTTAATTTTAGTAATTAATTGAATTCATGAAATAAATTACATTATTATTCTTTCAATTCCCTGCATTCTACTCTATATATCAATGATGACGAGATGTTACTCGAGAATCAATTTATCAAGACTTCCATTCATTTAAAGTATATCAAGGCATACGCTATAATAATCTTATTTATTGTATCATATAATCTTATTGTATAAATTTTATTTTTCTTCTCCTTCTTTTGAGCATATTTTCATTCTTCTCTTGCCCCTAGAAATAGAAATTGGGCAATTATAGCCTCCTCTTGATATTATCTCCTTTAATCTTTTTGATATTCCTCTAATAAACACTATTATTTTAGTATCTTCCGGATTAAAGATTACATGATGTCACCATAGAATTTTAAATAAAAATATAGAAGAAAGAAAAAAAAGATTAATAATTACTATCCTTTTAGGAGTATGTTTTACTATACTTCAATTAATTGAATATAATGAATCACCCTTTTCTATTGCTGACTTAGTTTATGGATCAACTTTTTTTATTGCTACTGGGCTTCATGTAATAATCGGTACATTATTTCTTTTTGTTTGTTTTACACGCTTAAATTCACTTCATTTTTCTTATCATCATTTCAGATTTAAAGTAAGAGCTTGATATTGACATTTTGTTGACATTGTTTGATTATTTTTATATATTTCAATCTACTGATGAAGATATTAAATTTTAAGTCTTTACATAATAAAATTTATTTATTTTTATATCCATTTAATTTCTAAATTATTATATAATTATTAAATAACTTAAATAAATATCTATTATTTATTTTTACTCTATTTTATTATATAATATTCATAAATAAATTAGTCTATTAAACAAATATTTTATTTGTAATACACAACTAATTAATTTCATATTTTGATTTTTAATAATTATTAAAATTCATAAGATCCTGGTCCTCTTATAGTAAAAACTAAATTATTAAATAAAATTTATTTTATCTAAATAATAATCCCTTTTTCACCATCTTTTTCCAATTTTATAGTATCAATTATTTATATTCTTTTTGTTAAAATTTTCTACTATTTAATATATTATAATAAACAAGCAATAAATCATTATATCTTGTAACTCTTCCTTCTGTATTGGTTTTAATTTTAAAAATCCATCTACTTCCTACACATTTTTGTCCTTCGGGCAGTTCCGTTACTTTCCAAGTTCCTCTTTTTGTTATATTATACAATTCGCTCTGAATTGCACTTTTCATTTATCTGCCTGTGATGAAGACAGCGTCTCTTCAATACTTTGTGGTTCAACAAGTTCCATTAAATTTGCTTCTATATTCGCTATCTCTCGTGCTATTATCTTCTTCTTCTGTTTGTGAGTACTCATCACTTTGATTTCGTCCAGTTTCCCTTTTTTTCCGTAAGGATTTCTGATCCTTTTCTTGGGTCTTCCTCGTTTCTTTGCTTGTGCATTCTCTTGTGTCCCCACTATCTCAATATCTTTAGGGCTTAGTGTTCCTCTATCGAAAATATTTGATCGAATTTCTGCTCGTGATACATTAAAAATTTTCTCTTCGTCTCCTTGCTCACTGTCTGATCACACCTGATTATACTTAAACTCCGGTATGTCCCTTTTATACAACCATTTATAATCTACTTTATCTTCTGCGAATTTTACATGTTTTATGATAATAATATCCTATATTGAAGAACACCACAATCTATAGCCACATGTTTGTGAGGCACATCCCACGAAGATACATTGGGTCGCTCTATCATCTTCTTTCTTCTTGTTTCTTTCGTCCTTGATTGGGCAGACGGGCAACCAAGCTACCTACGTCAAGCAACCAAAGACTCTCAAATGATGTACGGTGGGCTTTCGTTCTGTCCACAATGCTAATAATACCGCATTATAGTTGAATATCCAGACCTATTCTTCACATAAGCAGCAGTTGTGACAGCTTCCGCCCAGAATTTTTGAAGTAAATTTGCAGAGTTCAGTATGGATCTAGTAAAATTCAATAGTGTTCGGTTAATTCTCTCTGCGACGTCGTTCATCTATGGTGATATTAGATCGTGTTTTATCCCTAACTGACTGAAGAAAACAGTTAATTCCGAGTTATAAAACTCTAGACCATTATCAGTTCGAAAACTTAATTTTTTTATCTGTTTGACGTTCTATTTTAGTAATATAATTTTTATTTGCATTTTTCACTTCATATTTATTTTTCAAACAGGCTACTGTAATTCTGGAGAAGTCATCGATAAACGTTATAAAATATCTTCTTCCTATGGACTTTATTGGTAATGGCCTACAAACTTCAAAATGAATTAACTCGCAAGTATTTTTAGTTTGTCTTACCTTTAAGCTCTTACATGGATTTTTCGTGGCTTTACCTGTGCAGCAGGCATTACATGTGTATTCATTCAACTTTACATCACATAATCCCGTGACTTGATCTGACTCCGCTAATTTTTTAATTGTTTCATTATTAATATGACAGAAGCGTTAGTGCAACAACGTTTAATCCTGAAGTTATTTGATTCTATTGGTTCCTTAAAATGCGTTTGCACTTCAGCCTTTACAATGTACAGGTCGTTTTTTCTGTATGTTTCACATACAATTTGATTTGTATTTCTTATTCTAACTTTTCCCTTTAATTGTTAATCAATATTTCTTTATTCCTTTTCTCTATTTGGAACACTGACATTAAATTTTTTCTTAAATTTGGCACGAAGTAAACATTATTTAAAAATCACTTTTTTTTCTTCATTTCCAACAAACATTTTGAGATTTATGTTATCAACTCCTTTAACATGTAGTATAGCATCGGACTTGCTCAGATTGGCCGCCGTATTTATTACTTGTGTATTTGTTTCTTGGAAGGTAGAGAACCGTTTTCTTCTTTTACATACGTATTCGTGTTCGTATTTCCACTGTCTAATATCCACACATCATTAATCTCAAGATGATTCAATGATATTAGGAACGCGTCACAATTTCTCTGCAGTTTCGATTCAGTCTTTCTTTTATTTCTTTCCATTTTCACACAACAATATTTTGCTATATGACCAGTTTTCTTGCAATTATAACACGTGATACTTTTAGATTTTTCATTACTTTGATATTTCAAGTCTCTTGTTTCTGCTCTCTTGACAACTTGTAATGACTCTTTGCAATCCTTTTTCTCGTCTTCGGTTCTTGACATTCTTCTATCATATTCTGCCAGAAGCACTCTTTTAATTTCTGCAGACGTGAACATTTCATCTGGTAAACTCGCAAGTGTCACATTTAAATTCTCATAGCTATCTGGCAATCCCGCTAGCAACACATACGCTAAATCTTCATCTTTTGACTTCTGCACTTGC